ATGCAGGCTTCTAGGCACTGTTGTAATAAAAATATATATATACACACACACACATATATATACATACATATATATAAAAATTATGAAAGTCTGGGCAAGTCTGTGTTGCGTAACTGGAGCATGGTGCAGAAATCCCTGAGCCAGTGCTGACCCAACATGGCGAATTGCCACAGCACAACCAGCTACCTGTGGGCTGCTCTTGTGTGAGCTGGCTGGGTCTGGAGGCCATAGAAAGTCAAGAGATGAGTCCCTGTGCTCCAGTGCAACTTCCACACCAGAGCTAACTAAAGTAGAACAAACTGGGTTGTAGTGTAGGCATTCTTGCTTACCTTGCATGAATGCTACACACAGGAGAGTAAGGAGCAGGAGAGAAGTCATGGTAAGACCCACTGACCCGGAGTGCTTTACCATAATAGCAAACATACTGCAGTGATACTTTAAATAGCATCAGTCCTTCTGCACGTAGCCCTGAATGGTCTAGGTCAGTATGAACCTAATCTCATGAGACCTCAGCAGCAAATTGTCATCTGCAGAAACTGTCCCTGAAGACTACAAGTTAGGGGAAGCCTAGTCTTTTAATAGACGAATGCAGTGTTTAGTCATCAGACAATCTAGAAAACTGGGCCAGATAGCAGACAGAATATTTACTATTAATCAAGAAGGCACATAGCGAAGTATATATCGTAGACATTTGATTACATTAACGGAGTTATCTTTAATCATTGGGTAGAGTCATATGATGGAACATGATCGAGTCACCATGGCTTAGCGGGGTACCGCCCATCTGTTTAAATGTTAGTAGGGATGACTCACGGTGTTAGCACCACCGTGCAGAGGGAGGGGAGCCAACGTGGTCAGTTACAGCAGCTTGGCTAACACGTGCTATTTTACTAAGCCACCGTAACGCTATCCATCCAGGCTGCGTACACCCAAAGAAATACTGTACAAATGCTGACTGAGACCCCATCGTGTCCAACAGCAGGCTCCTGCTGGGACACGATGAAAATTCTTAAAGTTGGGAAAAACCCCACAGATGGCCAGATTTTCAGTGAGGTTGAGCACTTGCCAGTTCTCTATCTTATCTGTCCTTTATTTGTGGGCTGTTTGCCCAACAACCCTATTTATTTAGCAACACAGGTGCCAAGGAATTAAAATGTCTCAGTCAGCAATATTGACTGACAGGCTGCAGGCAGCACCTCCTCAGCATTTACAAAGAGAGGAGCAGAGTTGACGTGTCCAACATTAAAAATAATAATTATAAACTCTTACTGACTTTCTTTGCTGCAGGATAGAAAGCAACAACAAAAGAGATTGTGTTGTCCTTGGAAGGAGAAGAAATGTCTTAGACAAACTGAGTATCTCAACCTGTACGGTTCTGTGCCATACACGTTCCCTGAGCTCTGTGCGAGTGAATGCGCATGAGCACGTGCTAATCGATGACCTGTATTCAGCATGGAAGCAATAGAAGTGTCCATGAGTACCGGCTTATGTCAGCTTCCCTGATGGGGAGTGGAATCTGCTGTGCATTATGTAGCACTTCTATTGGTGGCAGGAATGGTGCAGACTTTTTGACAAAGAGGGTCAACCTTGAAGCACAAGGTTTCTCTGACTGCCCTGCACCTCTTTGCAAAAACACACTTGGGAACAGACTAGCAGGAGGGTAGCAAGAAAAAATACCTGAAGTACTGAGGATTATTTTTCCTCTAGCTAAGTGTAAAGCATATGCAGACCCCCAAAGCAAAGCAGCATTAAAGGTGAAACTGGGGACAGCAAGGAAGCTTCTTTGCCATTTTAATAAATACCAATAATTCCCTTTTGCCCAAGTCCCATATTCCCAAACTCATTAAAGCAATTTTGGAAATTTTTTTGGCTCTGGAACATATAAGCAAAACTCAAACCGTGCAGTCCCTTGAGAATCACTTGCACAAATTGCATAAGTCAGGCCAGAATAAGTTTCTGTCAAACAGCCTAACACCTAAGCTTATTATGAAACTGGTGAATTGTACAAAGGGTCTGTATGTAGGACAGTCTCAGTATGAATAAAGGGGGGGGGGGGGGGGGCTGTTGTCATGGTAGTTGTTTTACTTTGGTCACACTGAAAACTCAAGTGATATTTTTATTGAATGCATTGCTCCTGTTAGCGCAATTCCAGTAGGCTGTGTCTAACCAAACTGGTGGACCCAGAGGGCTCCAGAGCTCCGGCAGGCAGGTGGGTGCACACCTCAGTCTCATCCCAGGATAGGTGTGAGAGTGCACCAGCACTTTCTCCTTTCCTGCCTACTCCTCCTTGCCCACTCTCCTGGGAGGAAACCCAGAGTGCGTCCCCAGCCCGGGCTGCAGCACATTCCGTTCTGCTCCTCAGCCCCCCCAGCGTGGGGGTCTCAGCCCTTCTGTCTGGCTGCTGTCGCATGGACTTTAAAGTACGACATAGAGAAGACCTGTTTGGGCTTGCTGTCTGCTGCTCTGCAGGGCTGTAGTTGCAGTGTGATGGACTCTGCTTGTGGGGGTCACCACAGCCTCTGGAAACCAAACTGAGATCTTTCTCCTCCTCAACTTCAGCCTGGTATCTGCTCACTTTTCTCTTTTCAAAGGATCACTGAATCTGCTTTTTGTGCTATTTTGACCCAAGCCTAATGATTCATCAGTCCTCTTGTGTGAATGAGTGCTGGTACATGGAGCAGCTGTGTTTTAAGTGGAGAGTAAGATGGGTCAGGGGCTGTGAACTTAAGTATATTTTCTGAGCTCATTTTTCCTGCACTACATCCATTCCACTTACACCACCTCCACAGCTGCCCAGGCTTAGCTTTGTGCTGAGCTGAGCATAGGGTCCCCTGTCCTAGAAGCTGATTCATGCTCCCTCACAGCACTTATTGCACCCTCTCACAGGGTTACACCATGTGTTTGGGAGACATTGTCTTGAGTTTCTTTGAGGGGGGGTATGAAGATGTAAAGTACATCATATTCCTCCATCAGCAGAAAACCAGGGAGGCATAGGAAGAGCTTCTTGTCTGTATCTGAGATGCATTTGTTGTTGTTTCAGGGGTTTTTTTCCCCCCTTCTGAATAAGTACTGTATGTGTCTGGGAGGATTTTTAAAACATCCTTCAAAACACAGGCTTTTTCTCTCCATGGAGAACCAAGACAAAAGGATGGGTTCAGTCATGTGCAGCTGCTGAAGAGAGGGCAGCTGAAGGCAGAGGGGTGGGAGGAGCAGGGGTGTCTGGGTACGAGGGAGCGGGCAGGGCAAGGACTTTGAGGTGGCGTTTGTTGGGACAGAAATGTTTCCGGGGGTAGCAGGCTTGAAGAGAGGAGGGTTGAAGGACTGAAAGTCCAAGGATGGGAAATACTGGGGAGTTTTAGGGAAGAGGGGATTAGGTGGTTTGGGCTCTGGGCAGAGGAGGGTGAGACTTGTAGGTCAGAAGAAGCTGGTGTTGCCATGAGGCAGGCTCCTCTGCTTTGGGAGCCTGGATGTGGTGTCCTCCATACGGGATGTCTGTGAATCCCATTGCTCACAGCCTTTGGCCTCTTTGCTTGTTGTTAGATAAATGGAAGTGACAGCTAAAGTTGCAGGAGGGGTGTATGTATTCATGATTGCCAGTATCACAATTGGAGGGGCAAGAAGTAAAGTCCCATCATTTGGTGTGACACGGTTCGGACCAACTGGGAGAAGCGACTGTCTTCCCCCTCACAGCTCTGAGGTTATTACTCTGCTTCCCTGACCAGCCCAGCCCAGTTTTTGAGGCTTTAATGGCTAGCTGTGGATTTGTCACTGAAGCAAAAGATGCTTCTGCCAAGGTCAAAAATCAACCCTGATGTTTAGAGGCTCCAAACATCTTTAGACTCTTTCCATGCTCCCCCCTGCAGAGGCTTTTCAAGCTCCTGGACTATGTCCCCTTCTCTCCGGTCCTTCTCATACGTTTAGGGGTATCTCTCCTGCCTAATAAACGGTGTAAACCCTGCTATACTGCAGAGCATCCTGCTCTATGAGAATTTAACATAGTAACTTTTACTAGCAATGTTTGTTGAGGCACTGTACATGCAAGCTTTCTCCTTTTCATGCTTTTAGAAAAGGTAACAAGTTACATTTACGCCAAACTTCAAGCAACTCATACTGTCTTCAAACTAGAAAAAAAAAAGCAGCTGATTAATTTAACTAACTCCCGAGACCACATTCTTAAAGGCTATTTTCAAAGAGTAGTCCCAGCTTTGTTTAATCTATTAATTTTATGATTCTTCTTCTTTGTGAGTGGGCCTGCTTTCTCACATGCACTCTTTTCCCTGTGCTGCACTTAGAAAAATCCTTCTAAGTCTTTTTAACTCCTTTTGCCAAAATAACTCACTCTGCTTTTTTATAGTCCGTACTTTTTGCCTTTACAAGCTACTTAATCTGAATGTAATTTTGATAATTTTCTTTCTTTTTTTCCATTTTCTGTGCCCTGGTGACATGCTGACTGGTAAAATTGGGAACCTCACTTTGGAACAAAGGCTTGGTAGAGTTTCACAGGAGAGAATATCAAGAGCGAGATGAAATGCTCATTTTAGAGTAGTTTATTTACAGGTGATTTCAAAATTACTTTAGGAGCGTTTAATTTTCTGTCATAGTCTGCAAAACTATCATCCAGATATTTTTGTTCCTGAGGTCTGAATTTACAGCAACGCACTGATGTGGCATGCCAGGAAATTTTCCTGCTTTGTCTGTAGAAATCTTTTGCTGGCCACTGTAAGATGCAGAGGTGCATAAACTGAGCCTGGCTGTTACGTTTACATTCATGTTCCATCAGAGGAACTATACTGGTGCTTTAACCGATAAATAGTAGAGGGAAGGTGATTCATCTGTTTCTTGAAAACTTTGTTCTACTGATTTATGCAGGAGAGGACAAATGCTGGATTGGCTTATCTGCGCCTGCTTGTCTGGAGTTGCCTGTGCCTAGCAATAGCTGGCATGGTAAGGCTTGTTTTGGTCTCTGTAGCCCATGACAGCTTTCTTTCCTTTTCTCCTAGGCCTGTCCCAGGTTCTCTGTCTTCTCTACTGCACCTACACAACCGACAAAGACAGCCTATGCCTGCCTCTATGCCTGGCACCCTGCCCAACCCCACCATGCCTGGATCTTCTGCTGTACTCATGCCTGTAAGTGTTTTGGTTTGTTTGGGGGTGGGGGGAGGAAGGTTGTTTTTTTTTTTCTTGATTCAGCATACGCAGAAGTGAAAGTCTGCAGGATTTCTACAAAATCAAAGTGCAATGAGCTAACGAAGCTGGACCTTTTTCTCTCTTCATCTTACACAAGAGTATTGTGGTGCAGTTAATGGCATGTTAATTAGTGTGAGAGTGATTAGAAACAGTTTACGTGAGACTACAATTTCTGGTTCTCACACTTGGTCATGTAGGTGAGATCAGTATGTCTGTGCTGGAACAAAAAGATTTTTCTCAAGTCAGTCAAAACTGGAAAAGCCATGTACATAAGTTATGCCAGTGAACTCAAAAGTAATCCTCTTGTTTGTGGGAGATAACTAACAAGAAAAAAATGTGACTTACTTTTCCAGCCTGGTAACTTGCACTTAATTAGAATTTGGTCACGATCGCTGCTCATCCTCTACTCATTTCTGCAAAGCTGGGAATATTCCCCATCTTCTGGGAGACAGAAGGTGCTTTGCAAGTGTAGCTTCAAATACTTAAATTATTTTAACAACCCTCTCAATGTAAGACATTTGGGCAGATAAAAGGGTGCAGATGAGTAAGGATGGCACAGGGAGGAGGGAAAGGAGAAGTTTCTGTATCATTGCACCATGTTTGGAAGGCAACCTGAGAGCAATCGACCATGGGAGGGAGGAAAAGCACTGCTTGTTCTGGCTCTGCTGAAGCAAGGGGGACATTCCACAGGGCTACAAAGATTCAGGTTTGGCTGCTATTTGAGCAGTCATTAGTAAGTTATTAATTAATAACTTATCAATAAGGCTCTCCTGGAATATCGACCAGGAAGTTCAACAAAAAAAAAATGTAAGATGTCACTATGGGTAGTTTTTTTCTGGCATGATTCCTAAGGAACCTGAGACGGAGCAAACATCCTGCTTCAGTGTAAGCTCAGGGGCTTTGGGTTGCTGCCGGGGAGCCCTTTGGGCAGCCATGCGCGCAGACAAGCAGGTGTGCTCTGGCTGAGAGCCCCAGAGGCGTGAGCATGGAGGCAAGACAGACCCTATCAGCTCTGGCTGCGCTGGCCGCAGCTCCTGCCCCACAGCCCTCCTGAAAGGGCTGCAGAGGAGACGGCAGTGGGAGCTGCTTCTGCCCCATGGAGGGGGTGAGGGGCCCTGCCAGAGGCAGCTTCTCCCCACCGGCAGGCAGTGGGATATTATATTGCCCTCACCCATTCTTGCTGGGATCATAGAATCATAGAATCGTTTAGGTTGGAAAAGACCTTTAAGATCATCCAGTCCAACCATTAACCTAACATTACCAAGTCCACCACTAAACCAATCATGGAAGGTGGGAGTCACTGCCTCACCACAGGGCACGAAAAACAGCTCCCCTGCTTGGAAGAGTTCAGGAGGATCCAAAAGCTTTATTGTGTGAGCCAAAGATTCAGGGGACTGGCCTGAAGCAAGGCAGGATGCTCAGCTCCAGTTGGAAGCAGCACCGTAACCCTACTTACCACCGCTACCAATGACTAGCAGTGTAACAGGGCTTGCTTCTTTTCGGGGAAGACACTACAGGAAATTATTTTATCCAGTCCTTATTGCCTTTAGGTTTTGTTTGACAATGGTATCCCTCCCTCCCAGCCTAGTGAGATTAACTTGCAGAAAGGGCTCTGAATAGCCAGGAGGAGTTCTGCTTTGTTTTTTGCTATCTCAGCAGTACATGAAAGCTTCCCTTACAAGACATACAGAAAACGCTTCTCAGCTGAGCAGTCCAAGAGAAGGAAAAAGAGCCAACTCATTTTCCGTATACTCGAGATTGTAGATTTTTATTTACCTTTTTATCAAGCTAAGTTGGGCTGCACTGACAGGGGAAGCCACAACTTTATACAATGATGCTTTTAAAACCACTTAACTCCGAGTGTTGTTATACTGAAAGGGAGAAAATCATTACAAAAAAGCACAAACCTGGGTGGCTGCTACATTTGTTTAGTGAAGAACCCTTTTCTTTATAATTGTCTGTGAGTTTTCAGGGCCGATTCTGATGAAACACACGCCTGCGTGCATACACACATGCAATTCACGACTCAGATTGTTATTTTTCCAGTCATGACTTGAAGAAATAAAGCTGAGTCCATTTAAATAGAAACCAAGCGTAAATTCTTGCAAATGTCTCCAGACGTTTTCAAACCTTTTTTTTTTCTCTTTCTCTTTTAAAAGATGGAGCGACAAATGTCAATGAACTCCAACATCATGGGGTTGCAGGGGCCGAACCTCAATAATCCGTGTGCTTCACCTCAAGTCCCCCCAATGCATTCAGAAGCCAAAATGGTAAAAAGAGAAAATTTTTTAAAAAATGTTTGCTTTTCTTATATTGCTCTTGCGTAGTGGTTACCCAGACGGTGCGGGATGTAGCCAGACACTGCTTACTTCATTCTTAGTCATATGTTATACTGGTTTTTAATACGCTGCAGTAAATCGCCTTTGTGTCTATGAACTTTCAAGATGTTCCTAGTCCTAGCTGAACTCTCGGTGAGAGGGAACTGAAGTGAAGGGTGGGCTATCTGATCCGTGCTGTGCTAAATAGGATTTTTGGTGCAGATTAGTAGAATTTAAGCGAATGGTCTGGCTGGTTCTCTGATGGTGTCTGTGCTCCACAACTTGGCTTAAAGAAAATTGTCAGTTAATAAAGAGTGAAGTAAAAAGTGTCTGATGTGGAGGGACTATATGTAGTCTTTGTTCTTTCCAGATAGGTGCATGGTGCGCCAGGGTAACGGCAGTGTTAGAAAAGCAGACTGAATGATGTATATAAAACTGGGATATTTTCTTTTGCTTGAGTGCAACAAAGGTGTTGCTGTCAAAAAGAAGAGTCAGAATTTGGACAAAAATAATCTATTTATACGAGTGAAATGTCACACTGTTTTTTAAAGTTGTTGTCTGTCTTACAAGGCCAAGGCTTCTCAGGCATATGTACTGTTACAGGATTAATGTAGGTAAACTAAACTACAAGTGGGCATTTGTAAGTTTTCCCCAGCTTTATATGCACTCTCATGGACGTATTTGGTACTCATATCCCTGGAACCGAGTTCATCAATGTAGAAATGCTTAGGCTTTTTCAACTTCAGAACTGCCGTTTACTGGCTAGTAGAAATACCAGGACAGAAGTTTGCAGTTTAACTCTGTAGGGTTTTTATCCTCTCAGAATATCTCATCATAGTGGAAAACAGGAGTAACTTCATTGAACTTCTTTCAGTGGCATTTTGCCAAGGTAAAATTGTCCTAAGAGAGAATGAAATCAAGCCGACAAAGATTAAGCAACCACATGTTTTTCTATATTTCTACTTTGCATGACTGGTACAGCTTTTAAAGTTGTTGTCATATATCCTCAGGCAAAGAAAAATATCTTCTTGTCTATAGGTACGGTGCATGCAGGAGACTCTTGGCTAAGAGCAACAACATATACGAGCTTATTCTATCTCTGTTTTCTTAGATTGGATAGGTCATGCCTTCGCCTCCCTGTTGGTCTGGGTTAGGCTGTTAACCCAACCTCTGTTAACACCCCGTCTAAAACCACACTCCGTAAACATGCAGCCCGTTGGCCAGAAGAAGAGCGATAGCCAAAAAAGCTGGCTCCCCCAGCCAAGGAAAACCTGTGGTCAAGAGTTCTCTCTCTGCTGTACCACACAGTGACGGTGACATGCCAAATGGCAACAGCATCTGCAGCAGAGCTTGTTAAAAACTTTTTGGAATAGGCGAGTGTTTTTTCAACTCAAGCATAGCTGAGCCAAGCTAAATACTCCTTGGCTGAATAAATCTAAAACTGGCATCTGTTTGGGGGACTAAAGGTTCTGTAGTTTACTCTCCCCCTGCCACCCCCTGCCTTTTTTTACTGGAAGTGTGAGGCTACTTAAGAACAAGATTAAATTATTGGTGCATATGGTGAGAATTCTGTGCTTTAAGACCTGAAACTGTACATTAATACAAATTACTTTTTAATCTGGATAAGCAGGTTTTGTCCCTAAACCTAACGTATGAAGGCACGGTTCTTTCAGACAGAAATTGCTATCAGTTCCAAAACACAGTATAGTGAACAGCCAGCCCCTTTGCTTCTCAGGGGCTTTCTGCCACTCTTCCAAAGGTGGAAAAAATCCACATGCATTAACTCTTAAGAGTCAGAGGCATAATTCAGAGCTCTAGGACCCTTCTTCTTCTTAAATGCAGGGGGGGTTTAATATCCTGTATTCTAGTTTTATACTTCATTTCTGTTTGAGCATACATGTAATGTAAAAAGCCGCTTCGTTTAGCCACTACTTTGAAAAATAGGAATCTGTTAACAATACTCTGCATGAACACAAAGTGGAAAAAATGTAGGAAATATTCAGAGCAAAATTATTTCTTACATGTAAGTTCATGAATTTTAAGTCTGAATCATCTGTATTACAGGCATGTTTGTTCTTATTATTAACTATTTCACTTGCTTCGTGCTCAAAGCACGAGACTTTGCATAATCTGCCGACTTTTTTTTTTAAAAGTGGAAAGCGAGGGTGCTCAGTACCTTACTGGATTACATCCTGCATTAGGAAGGAATTTCAGATTTCCTGGGATTCTGCTAATGCTATTACTGCTGGTGCATCCAGTGGTGTGTATGTTCTTTTTGGCTGGCCCCACTCTGCGAAGCATGTATGTGTTGAACACTAGGCAGAGTCATCTAAGCTGCTTGCAGCTAATGGCTGCAGTATCTGGAGAAGTTTGGGAGACTTTTGGGCCTGATTCATCAGCCGTCCAAATCCGTGGCAGATGGATCAACATTTTCTTTGTGCCTACATGAGAGAATGCAGGACAGGCTCCTCTAGCTGTGAGACCCAGATGTGAGACCAAATCTTTCTGGCCTCGTGCACATGAAAGTATGTACCTAAGCAATGCAAGCATGATTTGGTATGCAGCAGTCGTAACACTATTTGGTGACTCATGTGACTTAATTTGCTTCTGTAAAATAAATATGAATAACTAATTTAAGTAGGGATGCTGTGTGATGCCAGTTTTTGTAGAGAAAGCAGATAGATGGCAAAAGATTCACACCCTAGGTTGGTCCCTGATCAGTTTGGAGTAGGAACTGGAAGCCAGTCTGATAAATGCATACATATATGAGCACATACACAGACACATACAGAATGTGTGCTGCATTAATGTTTCTATAATATGCAATTTATTTATCTATTTGTATTTTAATCAGCTTGTATTACCTGGCATTTATAGAAAGCCATATTCTGCCACCCAGGATGCTCGTTTCCTGGTTTAATTTTTTCAGGAGAATGCTACTTCAAATATTAAAGTATTGTAGATGACATCCCAGAACTGATTTAATTTATCACAACAATCTCAGTTTCCCTCACAGTGTGCCTCTCAATTAGGTTATCACCTAATGCTTTAAAACTGTCCTAGTAAATGAATGAGTGAACATCTAAATCGATACCGCTTTCGTCTTAGATTCAGAGCTGAGTGGGTAAAACCTTTCTGCTGCCCACCAAAAACACACATTGATTTTCTATTAAAATATATTGCATTGCAAAGTGGAGGAAACATATAGCTGTAAGTGTACATGGTAAAAATATGCAGAATAGCACATGTAGCATATTAACATGTGGTTCGGTAGGCTGAGAATATTATGAACTCGGAATTGTTGGCGGTGCCTTTGCCTTAATATACTGCTTACATACAGTTTGGTTTGCAGTTTCAGAGTATTCATGGTTTTATAGCTCGGAAGTGCAATACCGTGTGGATTACCGGAGTGAAAGATAAATAGTGTGCACTGAACCGCTGGAAGGCTGCGTGAAGGCAGGTCTTTTCAGTGGAGCCGATGCCTCTCTATCTGAATTTTGCAAGGCATTGATCTTTACCTGTAGGGATTTATGAGCTCTGAAAGGAGGTATAAAAAGCAGGCTGGCAATGAAAATAATCTAATTTAAAAATACCGGTTTTGATTTGACCTGTTAATTTTTTCTTTTACTCTCTCCCTCCGCCACTTGCTGGATATGTAGTTTTATAAAATTTAAATAAAATATAATATGTGTGGCTTGGCTGGGCCTGCCTTCCTGAGAGAACCTGTATGGTTCTTTTAAAAAACAGAAAAGAAGTGGTTTCCATATCAGAAGTATGTAGGGTTGCGGGCTATTGTTTTTACATTGTACGTATTACTAGGTTGAACAGTAAGAATAAGAAAATTAATTTGAAAGTGTCTATCAGATGTAAGAGTGAAAACATACCAGAAAAGAAAAACAATAAACCAGTAATGAGCATGTTCCTAATTATGATGGTAAAATATCCGTATTAACTGAGCCTCATAATTTACCTAAGAGTGCTGGACAGCTTTGGCAGAGGAGGAGGAGAGAGGTGAAAGAAATTGTGGTTAGCCAGTTGTCATCAGCACTAATTTTTATTTGACTTAATGAGAGTTAAGGGTCCAGATCCTACCAGTGGCTTTGAAAATCCCGGTCCAAGTGTTGCTCAGATCTCTCTATCCCAGCGGAAAGGCAGGACTGGGTGCGGGGACCTGGGTGCATTTCGTATGGCTGCCAGACAGGCACTGCTTGCTTTCCCCAGAAACGCAGCACATCGGCCAAGCGGGAAAGGCTCGGCCACAAAGGTGGCCGGCTATCCTCAGATGCCAGCTGGGGTCTCCATTTGGATGGAGCCTTCTGCTGCTTGCTGTTCTACAAATAACATGCGTTCCTGTGCCCGTGAGCTGTGGTGGTGCAGGTGGTGCAAAGGGAGAAGCTGCTGGAGTAAAGCTCTTACCCCTGGCCCCGGTTTGGTACTCGGCTCAGCTGTCGCAGCAGCCCACGGATGCGGAAACAAGAGCACTACCCTAACAGCAGCGGGGGGCAGCTGGTGGCCTTGGGAAGGACATCCCACTGGGCGCAAGCTCTGGGCCCAGGTCTGCGAGGTATCCGTACCAATTTCAGGCAGGAGGCTGGTGCAGGCAGTCGGGCCAGGGCCAGAGCCGCTGAAGCTCTAGGTTTAGCTACTTAACACTTCATGACTGAAGATATTTTGTAAAATATAATAAACGGTTTGAAGTCTTGTGTTTTTCTATCAAGCTGGCTGGGAAACAAGTCGCTTTAGTAGAGCAACACATGTTGCTTCAGGGCCAGAAGGCTTTTCTTCGCACAGATTCTGGACTAAGCAGAAAGAAAAATGTCGCATCTCTGCAGAGCGTTCAACAGCAATTTCTCATCTTGTCCTTCACAATAAAGCAAAGGAAGCAGCATAAGAAAAAAAAAAAAAGTGCCAAGTGAAGCCCCCCAATTTAACAAAAAAAAGTTATGACAAAA